TGCTTCCAGGTGTAGAGTGGCTATGGCATGATGGACCTTACTCAGCAAGTCAACTACATCCAATACCCATGCTGCTGGGAACTGACATCCATGCAGGGGTAGAACGAAGATTATACTATCTTCACCTCAAGTTGAATTGACCAGAGGGGAGCTCAAACCCCCCTGACTCTAGAACAGGGCACATGTTAAGAATAGAAAATGACATATCTACCTGGGAACTCAATATCCAGAAGCAAAAAATATGTCTACCAGAGAGAAATCGATTCTTTCAACACTGAAACTGACTGGAACCACCCCAGGTACAACAATGTCCTCGGAATAAGATACATTGAAGGAGAGCAGAAGGGAAAGAACCAGAACAATCCCAAGTACCTCCACTATGACCCACAACACAGATGGAGTAGGATTGAGGGAGGAAAATAGACATCCATAATATGTATGAGGACTTATGTTGATTGGTTCTACTCTAAATCCAAAACCTGGCCAGTGGGAACTAACTTCCATGTGGGGGTAGGATGAGGGATCAATCAAAGGGGTGAACTGCAATTTGACGTCTCACTTCTTTGGTTTACATGTGTGTTATAGAAGAGGATATCACGTCATCTACACCAATAGAACACCACTGCCCTACTCTGCACTGATTAGTATTTCTGTATTGATATTTTATATCATTAAACCATTCAGGAAGATGCCTCCATGGACCACCACCTAAATGGCTTGGAAATGGAAAGTGGTGAGGACTTAAAAACTTCACTAAAAGAAGGGGGTGGGTGGGTAAAATGTGGTGGAGAGTTTGGAGGAATGTCAACACCTGAGACAGTGCAATGAGTGACCATGGAACCCTATTTTTAAAAGACACCATACCGATATATTCAATATAAGACATGGCAGGGATGGGCAGCTATTCCTGGCAGCTTTACCCATATAGTCCACGGGTGGTATGGTTTGGGACAGGCATATTTATGAAGCAATTTCCTTGCAAGGATAACCTTCAAGCGATCTTGTGAAACACCCCATTTCAACAGTGTGCATTATGGGGGCATGGAACATATTAAGCATGGTGACATGGCTGAACAGTGGATTTTAAAGATTAAAGAATACCTAGTCAGGCAACACTCGCCACAGAATGGGATCCAAACAATGAGTATTACAATGAAAAGGAAAATAAGGTCTCTGAAAATGTGGAAAGGAAGAAATATAACTTACCCAGTCTTATAGTCATATTGAAGTCTGAAGAATGGCCACAGGTGGGAAACGATATCCCAAAGAGAAAGAAACGGCGATACTATGCAAATAATGAGAGACAAACATATTAGGTGTAGTCCACATATCTGACTAAAGAATTTCCTCCAACGGATGACAAAGATGAGAAGCTAGAGAAAAGGAAAGGTGTCAAATTTGATGAGAAAACACCTCGAAATACGGGAGGACGACGAAAGAGAGAAATAAGCCAATCGAATCAAAGGCCAAACCCAATTGATGAGGGTGGAAGGAGAAAGATCACAAACAAAGGATGGTTGCCAAGGGATAAATAGGGGGGGGGACGGGGCACCAAGCATGGAAGCCATGCAGGCAATATAACAATGACAAGCAGGTACAGGACATAGAAGTCTACCCAGATCAGGCTGAGAATAAAGGTGGGAAATGGAAGAAAGAGAAATAGGTGAAAAGGAGGAGTTACTCTCTCTAGCAGTGGAGGTTTTAGGGACGAAAGAACAATCTGGATAAAGGAGAAGATATGTAGGATTATAAAGGATACATGAAATATTGATGGCAAATAAATCAGACTGCTGATGACCACAAGATAATAGGAGAAGGATACATGTATTAAGGGAAAGATGAAATAAGAAGTACGTGAAAAGTGGTTCAAACAGAGACAATAAAAATTCTATGGGATCAAGAAAAATGATAGGTGTGGAATAAAGTAGCTTGATAACTGGAAATTGAGGAGATAGATGATCCCTGATCAAAAAGTCATGTATGAAATTCTGCAATACAAGGAAAATTGTCCAGCAGAAAAACACTGGCCCAGAGACTAATGGCAGAAACACATTCCATTTATGCTGATAAACTTCCATTGAGGAAGGGTGGATGGAATGGGACAAAAATGAAGCTACAGCTTGGGACAACCTGATCTCCTCACCAAGGACTGGTTAAAAACCAAGCATGTAGATGGAGGACAGGAAGAGTGGGATGAAGCATCGATGACTGAGGTTGCCAAAGAAGAGAGGAAGATAGAGGAAAAGGTAGTTGAGGGGTAAGTTGGAGCTCGATAAGCTGAGAAAACGATGGTTGAGCTGTCAGTAAGGAGCAATCAGAAGGACCCGAGATGGAGTAGTATGGGAGATTGAAATCACCCGGGGAAGGAGTCAAATGGGAGGATAAACAAAAAGGTATCTGTTGGTCCAATCCTGGCTACAAGCATCGACAGCCAGGGCAAGAGAATGAGGTACCAGATACCAAAATAGAGAGAGTTTGTGGTTAAGGGAAGTGGTAAATGCATTGATGTGAGGAGTACCCCACTGAAGGCAAAGCCACTGGAAAACCATAGGATCAAGAGACCACTCTGTTGGATAGATTCTGTCTGTACAGGAAACACGATCTGCAACAAGATTGATGATATGGATATCCTATGTGTGGGCCCAACAAAGAAGGTCCAATGTGTGAAACATAGGGATCAAGAACAGGTGCTACCTTGATGATTGAGATAAGCAACCACTGTGGAATTGTTGGAATGAATCCTTACCAGATGATATCTGGCTAGATGGAGGAAATGATTCAAGGCCCAATTGACAGTGAGAAGCTCCAGTGTTGATATGGTAAGACTTATCAGCCGCCAACCAACACCCCAATGACTTCTGTTGATCGAACCATGCCTATCCCTGGAGGGAAGCACCGACATGTTGGTCCTGTCCAACCAACAATGCAGATCTTCGACTATGGTAGGAGGAAGGGTAATAAAACCATGCAAAGGATCCTCTGCAAGATTCCACTGGTCACTTCGCTTCAGCAGAGCCTATGGCTGAAGTGGCATTGTTGGACAATACATAAAATGTAAGGGATCTCAATGAAGCTGCCAATGGACAGGTCCTGAAGTCTCCATGACTGATTGCTGACAAGCAAGCAGTGGAGAAGCAGCTGATGCCCAGTCTACCCACGTCTTCATAAATGGTAGTTATACTATTACCGTTTTACTGCTCAACTGTCAGTGCAGAGTAGTTATGATATTACTAGTTTACAGCTAAACGCTTGGTACATAGTGGTTAACATGAGTGGGTTAAAACTACACTCTAGGTGCATTCATGATGTTAGAAAAACACATAGGTTCAAGAAGTCTTGATAAAATTAATTAAAACCCTATAACTCGAATGTTTTCGAAAGGTGGACCTTTCTTATTCAGGGGCAAACTGGGAATGTATTCCCTGTATCCTCCCCTCTTACATAAAGGATACTACTCACTTTCTTAACATCATAGAAGATATTAATACTGACAGCCAGTTATCCCCCAACAGTCTTCTTTGCATGATGGATGTTTCTTCCCTTTACACCAATATTCCACATGATGAAGGACTACAAACTCAAAAGTCTGCATCAGACTCTTCTAACCAATTAGAATCTCAAACAGTAACTGATCTTGTCAGGCTGGTTTTAACTCTGAACTCTAGGTGCATAGTAGTTATACTATCTCTGATTACTGGCCTGTAAAACATTATTTTAAAATACAGTGTACCTGATATCTTCACCAATACTATGAAAGAATGTTTCAGTTTTGACATTGAAATATTTGGCAGCAATGGATTTTCATCAAAGAGTAATGGTTATACCCACCTGTTTGACCTGTTGTTTTTTGCTAGTTGCAAAAAGTAATATTTTGATATGAATGAATCAAAATATTCGTGAGTAAATAAAATTATCAGCAGAAAGTGAAATTCATAAAACATAGGTTGTATCATATAAAATGTATGTTTAGTACATCCAATGTTTTATTTGATTATGATTGAATACTTTCTATTATGCAGAATGAAGTATTTTGAGAATGACAGTTTTATAACTATTTTCCATTATTTCAGTATCAGGTGCAGTTGAAATCAATGTAAGCATACAGCCGAAGGCAAGAAGTAACATCTGTGTAATATCATTTTGTAGTTGTCTTTAGCTGTGCTAAACTGTTATCTTAATCCTTTGCCAACCGTCTACTTAAATCGGTAAGTAGGTAGTAATGTCCCTGTTATCACATTTCGAAAACTAGTGGATAAAATTGTTTAAAATGTGACAAGAAAGTTCTTAAAGGTATATAGTTTCAGTAAAATAAAATATTTAATTCTGATTTTATCTACTATTTCTAATAAAAAATTCGTTATTTGCACTCCAGCTCTGAATAGTTCACCTGCAAGGTGATTTTTATATGTAGTATAAAAATACTATTTCTTATCCTACAATTTTCACATTTCATTTGTGAAATCTTTAGAACCTCATAAACGAATATGAAAAGGTTAGAGCTAATTTATTGGGAAAGTAGTTATAAATATTATTACTGGTTTAGAGCTAAACTCTTGGAACAGTGTAGTTATACTATTAACAGTTTACACATAAACTCCTTTACTATATTATACAACTAAAACTTTATTATGGTGTAGTTACTAATTTTTGTTTATGGCAAAATTGTTATGACAGTGTTGATAAACTATTTTGGTTTACAGTTAAAGTCTTTTAAAGCATAGTTAGTGCTTACTACAGTGGAATAAAGTTGCCATTGTTGTCCAGCACAACTCTTCTTACAGTGATGTTATATTGCAAGTGGCAGATCACCACACTCTTATTACAGTGACATTAAACTGTTACTGGTTCACAACTTTTTATAACAGTGATATGAAATTATATTGTTTTATAGCTGGACTTTTATTGTTGTGAAATTGTTACTAAAATGCCACCTAGTTTATGAAAATGTGCAAAAAAAGAACTATATCAAGCACTGACAGAAATACATACAAGAACAAATATTAATTAGTAACAATTTTTATTAGCCATATCTCATTTTAGTATGACTCAAAATCATCATCCAAGTCTTCGTCAAGGTCAAGATCATCAAGTTCTTGGAAAAGGGACTCATCAACCTTCACATCATCACCTTCAATAGTATATGAAAAAAAAATTGTATTAATACAAGCAAATGAACCAATTACCACTTTGTTTTATTTATATGATTATGCTTCAATAGGTTAGCTCATATTGCTGTTCCCAATGATTTAAACCTAACTAATTTGTTCAATAAAACTACAAAGTGTAGTAACAAAGTGCACAAAATAACTGCAGATAGATTAAGAGATGTTCCTTATCTAATAATACCTCTACTACCTCTTGATATCAAGAAAAATAGTGTTTTAAAATGGAACAAAATTAAATCAGCTTGTAAGGGAAAGATAAAACAGAAGCCCACCACAAATAGGGTATTTACTCAATTTCTTGTTCTTATATCATGCTTATATTGGTGAAAGAAAACAATTTCTTTCATTAAAGTAAAGGAACATGAAAGCTACTGTTATTAGAAAGATAATGAAAACTGGGTTTAACATTACATGTTCAATCAACCAACCACAAAATTAATTTGGATCAACCAAAAATCAATGCAGAATCCATATTTTTCTGTCTACACAACATAAAAGAATAAACAGAAATATTAAAAAATAGAGCTCACAAACTCAAGAATGAATGAGACTTGAACTCCTCTCTATTTGGAATACATATTTTTCAAATTAGTTTTGCAGTATGCTGCTATTAGTGAGCTTAACCCCTCTGGAGCTGTTTTTAACCTGAACGTACAAGATGCTAAGAAAAAATTTAATCTGTCCCTTGAGAATGAAAAGTATGGCCTGTCAAAACTGATCAGGGATGTTTTTCGAATCTTTTGATAAATATTTAATCACTTATACATTATGATGCTGCTGTGTTATTATTGTTTTTTATGAATTTACATTAAGTATTTCTTCTTTACATATATGTTATTTTTACTGTTTGTAATGGCTTAACATGTCAACACAAACATTTTATATATTAATAATTACACCTCTAGATTCTTATACTAAACTATGGTTAGATATTATGAATTGTGCTCAAAACACTTGTTTTTCTAAATGGTAAGTAAAAGAAATATACATACCATCTTGACCAAACTCTAAATCTGACAGTATAAGAGACCGATCTTTTTCAAAAAGTTCTCGACCTAGAAATGTAAATGAATTCACAAAGACATCATTCAGTAATAACACTAAATATTGCTGCTAGACAATTAAAAATGATAGACATAATATAATACTTATAATTAAGTAATGAATAACCAAGAGTAATTCATATATGGAGCTGAGAGCTAACTTGGTTAATTTCAGGTTTAAATTTGTGTAAGAGCAAGCTCTCTTTTATACAGAGACTGTATAAGATCTTAAAACCATGACAATGATAAGATCTTAAAAAACAACTGAATGGAAACTATGCCACACTCATCTAGGGTGTGTTGCAGTACACTTGATATAATTAAATATTTTATATTTGCATGTTCTTTTTTATGAGTTCACAGTTTTCTTTTAGTGGACCCAATATAGCCATGTTGACAATACGGACAAATAAATTTGAAAATTACATTTGATGATTTTAATACACAAATATGGTCATTAAATCTAAAAAAAATTTTTGCAGATGACAACTATGTTTAAAAATTAATCTCAACTGAATTTGAAGATGTATCTTAGAAAGTACATTTATTAACTAATTTTTTTGTTTTCAAAGTATGTGGCAAAGTTGTAACAGTAGAATATTTAGGAACTTCAATTATATGGATGGTTTATTAAAACTCAATTTATTCATATAATTATGAAGCGTTCTGTCAATGACATATATAGGAGAAAACAATATTTTGCATATGAATTCACCGATATTACCAAATTCTTTTAGCACAACTTTACAAGTACGTGATATTTTCTATTTACAATGAAATAAAATTTTAACCAAATCTAAAACAGTAAGCATTTTTTTTGGTGTACTTCACAATGGAAGTGACCATCACTGATATAAAACAATGTGTCCAAAAAGGAGAGTTTATGATCTTGTTGATGTTGAACAGTGAATTTTATATTATGATTACTGTTCAAGTACTCAAGAAACTAAGAAACTTCATCAGAAGTTTTAAAAATGGTAGTAAAGTAGTTTAAAAGGTTGCAGACAGTTTTCCAATCATTTTATTTTTCATGATAACATAGAAAAAGATTGGCCAAATATGCTGAACTGGAACCCACAGCAACATCATCAATCTGGTTATGAAGACTGTCAGAAAATGTGATTCCCTCGTTGCAAAATTCATCAATTTAAAAAATACTGACCTGGAAGTACTCATATTATCAGAGCTGTTAAAAATCAAATCACCACTTGACTGCATAGTTTCTTCTAATAGTTTGTATACAACTGATTCAACACCAAAACTGGTACAGTAAACAATGTTATCAAACTTCATTTATTGTATTTCAATAGAGAATTCAAAGCTGCCTTTCAATGTATGTTCATTGGTGGTAAAAGATGTCAAAAGTTCAACCAGAAAACCATATAAAGAATAGTTATAATTCCAATGTTAGAAATTATAGGTTGTAATGGGCAACCTTATTTATGAATTTTTGGTAGACCATAAAAAACTTATATATGACTGCATAATGGTCTAATGTTCAAGTATTGTTTTTTAGTTACAATATTGTCCATTTTCCATTCTTAAAAGGCAGCTTTTAATCTAGCCTCTCTTGTATCAGTAGGGTTAAAGTGTAATTTCATAAATATAGATGAATCATTTAAATTGTCTTAAGCCTTTTTTACATGTTCATAAGTATTCAAAATTACAAAACTATTTCATTTATCAGATTCAGAAATGATAATGCTATTATTTTTATTTATGTTCTTGAAGGCTTTTAAGTTCTCTAAACTTAAGTTTTAAGTACCTTTATATTCTTCTTTTTCATCAAAAAATTATATTTTTAATTTTCAGACAGGTATGTTAAAAGCTGTGTTTGACAAATATGTAGAAATTGAATGATCTTATGTTACACTGTATCTGCATTTTTCATTGTTCTATGTCACATTTTAGATTATTTTCTGTATTTTTCTCTAGATTAATTTATTAGGTTTAGTAATAATTGCTATGTTTGTTCACCTTGAATATGCATATATTTACAGAAGTTAGTTTTGCAATGAAAATATTGATTCTGCTTGCATTTTTAACATTAACAGATATGACCATATAATAAACTGACAATCTCCATGACATCGTCCATCACCTGATCGCATCTGGAATTGTACATCAGGTCTATAGTAGGATGAGTGTCAATGCAATTTACATTGGAAGAACACAACCACTCTACTTTCAACTGAGTGGGATTGAGCACACTTAGGAAGAAGCATCCATGGTTCACTACCCGAGCACCTAGGAACTGGTAAATGGCAAGGACTCCTATATTCCATTAGAAGAAAGGAGGAAACAGCACATTAGAAAGCACAGAGAAATACTGCACCAGAGACAGTGCAATGGGTGATCACTTCACCTTATTTTAAAAGCAGGCAGATTCAGTGACCTACAAGACACAGATCAGCAGGGATGGGCAGTATTTCCCATCTGCTTTACTCATGTTAGTCCATGAGTGTATAGTCTGGAGCAAACATCTTTATGAAGCAAAATACTACAAGGAATACCTGCAAGCAGTCTTGTGGTACATTTCATCTCAACAATGGGTATATTTGACACACGGGTCTTACAGTGCAGATTTAAGAATAAGTATATCTGGTCAGGCAACACTTGCCACAAAGTGGGATCAGAAGATGTGAAAAAGGGACCCTGAAAAAAAAAAGTAGAAAAAAAGGAACACTCACCCACTCATAGAGAAATCATGGAGCACAAAATGGGGATGGGAGTAAGATGAAACCCTATAAAATAGGTGGATTGGAAAAGATAATGATCAGTAAAGATACCTATGAAGAGTGGTCCACATACTGCACGAATGATGTTCTCCAAGGAATGAGAGAAATGAGCAGCCTGTGGCATGGTAAAGGGACAGATTTGATGTGAAGAGACACGGAAAAGACAACAAACAACAAAGAAGCTGGCAAATCCAAACTATAGGGGAATAGAAGTCATGGGAATGGGAGGGATTCCAAGGAATAAACAGTACACACCATGTAACAGCAGAGAGCCCTGACCAGATAGAGGAGGCTAGCAGGGTCGGAACAGTCATAAAGGTGTGATATGGAAGGGAGATGGGCTTGAAGGTGAAAGTACCCTAACAAGTGGTCAAAGTTTGGGGCAGGAAAGAATGATCAGGGAAAAGGATCACCCAGGAACAGTGAAATAAGGTGTGGTGGCGAACAGCAATACTGAACACGTCTGATCAACAGCATTTGCCTGCAATCAGGAGAAGAAAAAGAGACTGTAAGGAGAGGTGAGAGAAGGAACAAGTTGACAAAGGTTCAAGTGGAGGAAGGGTAAGGGCATGGAGGATGACATTGAGGATCCAATCAGCGAGGGAGGCAGGATGAGACAGTGAAAAAACAAAAAGAAAGTACAGAAGAATGGTAGACATGGGCACATTGTGTATAATTGAAATGTGGTTGAAAAGAACACAACACTGTGAAGTATGGATGACAAAAAAAACAGATGGTTGGGAGAACAGGCATACAGGTACAGACCAGTCCAAGCCTGACTGAGAGCCTCTGCTGATCCAGCCAATGGATGTGGAATAGGAGACCAAAATCAAGGGAGCTGGGATTTGAAATAAGTGGCAAAGGTGTTCAGATATGAAACCCCCCACTGAAATACCAGTGGGTAGAGTGACTAATCCATATGGAAAATCCTGTGGGGACAAGATAAGTGATCCACGACTAGATTCTGGGCACCCCAAATATGATAAGTTATCAAAGGAATAAGATGGCCTTGGGCGCATGACAGGAGGTCCAGTGTTTGAAAACAGAGGCCTCTCGATTGAATGCCCTTTGCCTGGAGATGGACGAAATCACAGTCAAGTTGTCCTAATACACCCTCACTGACTGGCTCTGAATGGCCAAAAGGAAGTGAACCAAAGCCTGATGAACGACAATGAACTACAGGAGATTGATATGGAGAGAGGACTCTTATAGAGTCACCTCCCTGAGTATCAAGGTAGGCACCTCAACCAGAAAGAGGTGACATTCTGGATGAGGAGGAGGAAAACAACACTCATAGTGTTGTAGTCTTGATCCAACCACCAGGCAAAGTCGGTCTGTAAGGAAGGATGAAGGAAGAGAGAGGCATTCAAGGGATCCCGATTGAGGCTACACTGGTCTAGAGGAGCCCACATCCCCAAAAGAGGAAGGTACAATAGGAGATGTGAGAAAAAGGAGACCAATGAAGAAATGGAGGTATACAATAGTGCAGACTAAACTCTGGTGTCCAAAAAGTTGGGAATTCCCCCCAAAACCTCCTGGTGCAGAAAAGGAGCTAGATGCAATCACAAAATGAGGTGGGAGGTAAACATGCCCAAGACAAAAGGGTATTCTGACCCAACAGGAATTCAGAAAAATTAAAGTACTGGAGTCCAAACCCAGAAAGAGACAAGTGACTCATATCACTGCAAGTCAAAGGAGGGAACACAGAATGAAGATACACCAAAACATGTTCGTTCAAAGTATGTAGGGGTTACATTGCATGCTGACTCCAGAATGCAACTGGTCTCCAAATTGACCCGCACGAACCCTAATATTTGGTGAAGGGCAGGTGAGGAATCATAGGAAATGGGAGACAAAGAAAAATTATAACATATCTGATTGATTAAGACAGCAAAGGGAGAAAGAAGCCTGAGCACCTCCCCCTGAAACAAAATGTGACTGTAAGACATAGACAGGATGAGGAAATAGGCTGCCCAAATCCTCATCCCCATGTTGAGGCATACCTGTACATTGTATGAGAGGAAAATCATTAGGTGACACAGAAGATTGCATAAAAGTAGCTGTTACTTCCCGAGTTGATAAAACTTGCTATGATGCCACTGAATTGGCAGGAAGATCATCTATAGTAATCACAGCAGTAGTGGTAGATGTGACATGGAATTGTTAGACCATGATGAGTGGTTTAAACTGGGAAGAGAGGGCACTGGTGATGATAGGAGTTGTGTTGCACTCCTATTGGTGGAGGGTTGTTGCATGATCATTTGCATGATAGCA